TTTTAATAATATATTATATTTTATCACATATTTTATTATATTTTATCATATTTTATCATATTTATCTTAATTTTAATTTTTAAATAACTTATTTTCGGTTTATTTTTGGTTTTTAATTTTTGAGAAACTCAACCGAAACCAAACAAAAATCTATTTGGTTAACACTAAAACCGAAAAAATAAAACCAAAAACCGTTGAAACCAAACTGAATTCATTTTTTTGGTTCGATTTTTGGGTAAACAATTGGTTCGGTTAGAAAATGCCCAGCCCTATAAATATGTATGGTTTTAGGTATGATTATGAGTTGCAAACCTCCAATTTACACATTAATTACAACAACATAATAGATGAGATTCAGTTAAAACTATTATTATATTTTATTTATCTTGTAATTAAAACTTAATATATTTCTATTTTTAATATCAAAATGTGTTTTTCACATTCTCATCATATTAAGTTTATAATAATTTAACTTTTTGGTGTTATATCATAAGAAAAAAAAAAGTTAAGACATATTGCTATTAAAAAAAACTTCAAGATACCTAATGGTAATAACATAATAAATTTAATAAAATTAAAATTTACGTTATATTCATGTACTTATTATTTTTATTTTTTTTAACAATGTTATCATAAGACGAGGTCAAACTCACCTAAAGAAAGAGAGGAATGCACTTTAAGGTGGTCAAAGACCACTTGACCCGAAGGATGAGATGTGACACACTTAATTGTTATAATTAATCATTTTAATATTTTTAATACCATAATGTCCTGATTTTTTCTTTCTTATCATAAATTTTTTTTAATAAGAATAATTACTCATTACAACAATTATATATTTTTAATAAGGAGTGGGGGATGGGGAGCTGAGGGTCAAACGGTCAAACAGTCAAACATAATAAGGACAGAATGTTACCACTCCAAACATCACGTGAGAACATCATATCATAACTTCTTACTAGAAGTAATGACGTCGGAAAACATGGTATTTCTGATCTCTGATAACAGGGTAAATAAAATTTGCACACTTCCTCTAGAAACTGCCATTGCTTATTTCAGTTTGGAAGACCGGTGCCTTTTCATAAATGGTATATCCATCAGGTGTTTGTGTTTATGATTGCCTTGGACTGACTGCTTATGAGATTTTTGGAGATCACCCACTTTTCAGATGGAGTTAATGGAGTCTTCATCGCTGCCTTCACTGTCGCTACTGCTACTGCTGCTTCCGCTACCACTTCCACTGCTGCTGCCGGAACTAGAAGTCTGCCTATCCCCCTCACCTGCATTCACCTGAGCCCTAAGGGCTTCTGCAGCATTTAGCCCCTTTTCTGCTTCATCACCAGAGTCATCTACATCAGCAATCTCATCATCAGTGTCATTTTGCCGTGGTGCACTGGTATCACGTCCAGCTTGGTGCTTCTGTTCATCCATCTTCCCATCATCAGGATCCTCGCCAAAGATCATCTCATACATTAATGTATCTTGATGTTCCTCAGCTTCATCATCCTTCGGGTCTGGTGAGGCAGCGGAAGCATTAGGCAGTTCGGATGGATATACAGCAGTCACCTTACCGGCAGCTTTTGCACCTATCACATGAGAAATATAGCACCATAATTTACCAAAACCAACACTCAAAGAGTGGCAAAATCACACAAACCATACCTTCCGCATCAACTACGGAACTTCATAACAAATATCAATCATGCTCCCCACCCCCAGCACAGAAAAAATCATGTAGATCAACTAGATTTATACTTTATAATACTAACTACTAAGGTATTCTAACAATTAAAGGAACCAATATGAAATGTACATATAACTTTTATATATAATTTTTCTCAATATATACCAGTCTAACTGACATCCTAACTGTGATAATAAGTACAATAAATTAAATATATTTTATCATTAAAAAATATATTTATGTAGTTAAATGAATTTGGCCTTTCGGGTAGTCCAAAGAAATGGAAAAAAAAGTACTAATACAACTAATATCTATTTCATTACCTATTTTCAAAAAAGAAACTAATATCTATTTCGTAACAAATGACCAATAGAAGCAAGTTCAACAAACCTGGATTCTCTGGCTCACCAATATCAATTTTTTCCACCTCAACCTGTACAAAACCGTGACAAAAGGGAGCTTAGATACGGAGGTGGAGATAAGAAATAACATTTAACATACACTCCTTTTATAAGTAATAAAGCGCACAACAAAGCAGACAATATGACTTAAAGCTTCCAAGAAATTGAATTAAAACTAGCAAATTCTTATGCTATGAAAAAGGTAACTTAGGTTGGGATGCTAATCTTTGAATGATCATTTATCATTTTTTCATTAGGAAAAGTATTAATCAATATTCCAGACTTGCAGGAACATACTTATTATCAACAGAGGGTGAGGGCAATTTGAGTATATCCGTCTTACTCAATAATTGATGTTTACTTGGAGGTTAAGAGAGAAGTTGAAATAGTTGTCTTGTTAGTCTAAATAGCTTTTCTTCATCAACGTTAAGTATTGTTTCACTTACTCCACGAAAGTTTCACTTAGTTATAGGCTTATAGCTTAACCATTACACTAAATAAGGTACCAAACTTATGGCCCTCATTTTCCAGTTGTATTGTTTTTGCCAAAAGGAAAGTAAACTCTAAGGGATTGCACTGCAATCCTGCAAAGTCACAAGTTATCCAAATTCTCCAGAAATTTCCTCTCAATTTCTTTCTCTTTTAACAATCTTGGACATTTAACAAGATCACATCCCAGTTAAAATGATACAACACTGAAGAAACAGATATCAAAAATCTAATCAAACCCCAATTTCATAGTTAAATAGCAGCTAACCGAGTGTCCAAATTGAGGTCTCAATGCTATTCTTGGTTGATATTTGTTAGTTTGATTCAATTTCACCATCTTATTTTCAATCTTTATCAAATCAGGATCCATTCACAAACCAGCAATGGATATTCTTTCAACTTAGATATGCTTCAGCAGCAGCAAACGTGATGCATCTAGCATTCCTCAACTGAATCTATCAACTTTTTGCAATTTCATTGCCTAATCAACTAGTAATTATAAGAACTTACCGGTACTGGAGGAACTGAGCTTCTACCAACATGCATTGGCTTAGCTCCCTTTCCCACCGGAGACAAACGAGGCTCAGCCGCCGCCAGGGCAGCCGCAGACTCTCCGGGTTGCCTCCGGTGTCGAAGTTGCTTGACAGCGCGGTGGAGCCGTTCCAACCGAAACGTCTTGCCGTCAAAGAACAAAACGGCGTCACTATCCTTGTAATCCTCGCTGCTCCCCTCGAATGTCACCTTGGGTTTCCCCAATTGATTGTTATGAAATTCAACCGTCACCCTGTTGTCTTTATTCTTATGCAGCGATCCAGGCTTCGTCTTATCGATCGACGCCGGCTTGAACTCATCTACAGCATAATCAATCAGTCAAATGGACAATGGTAAAATTGAAAAACAAAGATTCCTAAACTGAGGGAGGAGGCTTACATCGCAAAGTGCAGTATTTATTGGAGGAATCGTCGGAGAAGGAGGAGCCGAGGGTGAGGTCGTACCAGCGGCCAGATTGCGGGGCCGTACTAGGTTCTTTTCTGGAGTTGTTTGCCATTTTGGGGGAAGATCAGAAGATCGCCGGGAGGTTGAAGACGATCATGGGCGATACCCACCGCCTGCTACCATTGCTATATCATATCGCGCTGGAAGTACCGTACTGTAGGGGAGGTTGGATCGGGTCGGGTCTTGTCTATCCGAAGGGTCGTTTGAAGGGGCAGGTCGGGCGACGGAGACGACTCAGCAAAATAAGACGCTGACGTTGGATTCGAGTGATCCGACCTGGATTGATGCTATTTGTTGTATTTGTGCTTTGTGGGGTCAGTTGGAATTTCCCAGCGTGTCCATATATTCTCACTACTCACTAGCGTGAAAATGGTTTCCGCTTTTCCTTTTGGAAGAAAATAGTTGAACTGTGCCGTTTAGCGTGATGGGGAGTTTTTAACAGAAAATTTATTAAAAAGAAATTGTGGTAGAAATATTATTTTTATAAATAAAAAATAAAAATAAAATAAAAATAATGTATTAATTTTATTAAAATTTGAATGAAAAATCTTGTAAAAGTATAAATTTGATACTTTTAAAATTTGTAATAAAATAAATAAAAGATAATTTGTAAAAAGTTATATTATTTTTCACAAGTTTATAGTGTTTGATACAGATTAAATTTTAGAGTTTAAAAAAACTTTTCATCAGTTATACCAAACATGCATTAAAAGAATCTGATTTTTGAATATAATGATTTGTTTCAAATTTTAATATTTAAATATAATTAATTAAAAGTTTGATTTTTGTTAATGATTTGAAAAAATATCTTTTATTTTTTAAATTTCTCTCATGTTTAAAAAAAATAATAGTTAAATAAAAAAACTTTAAATTTATCTTTAAAACATTTTAATTCAAGATACACATTGAATTCATAAGATTAATTTATTAAATTTATAAATTTTTACATATTTATTCTATTTATTTTCATTATATCTCTTTATGTGAAATTATATTACAACATTTAAGTACACACAACAATTACCTTGCATTGTTAATGATATAATAAAAGACAATAAGTCAATCTTGAATTTAATATTGTAAGAGTTTGGACTCCCGTCTTGAAACGGCACATTACTAACCTCACAAGAAACTTATCCACTGACAAGTCAATGGGAGAAATTTGTCAATTTCACTAATCACTAGTGTATGGACGTATGGTGGTTGAATTCCATCTAATATATATTCATATATATAATATCTTAGTCTTTTAAGTTTAAAGTATATCTTAATATATATTTATATGCATTAGACTGATTTGAACTATGGTAAACTTACTCTCCCAATGGATAAAACATGTGAGGTAAATTTAGTTGGAAAAAATGAGTATTTCTCGATAAATTGATTAAAAAAGCAAAATTGAGAAATTTAGCAAGTTAACAATAGACTATTTAAATAATTCAATTATTATTT